ATTTTAATGTATTATATTTGGCCCGGCCATTTTTAAAACTGTTTATGTCACTATTGATTGTTTTTTGTTTATGTGATTTATATGATTTGTATTTTATTGATAGTTTATTGATGTTTTGTTTGATGTACTTTGGGCTTGGCTTCATGTAAGCCACACCAAGTCTCTTGGGGAGATGGTAGCGGGGTACAAATAAAGTTTATTATTATTATTATTTGGTGGAGAAGAAGACAGTCAGGAGTTTGAAGGAAGGAGGAAGGAAGTAAGTTGGGAACTGTTAGTTATATGAAAGATACCTCTGTGGTGGTAATAATAAATAGGACTCTATAGTGTTTAGAGTGCTGTGAGAGGAAGGGAGATTCAACAGGCTTAAAATGATTCTGTTTGATTTCTGTGTGTGGAACTCTGTTTTAAGAAACTCAAGATAAAAGTACCATCCTCTGTAAGAAATAAAGCCTGACAAGTTGCAGTATTTGAGACCATTACACATATTGACTGTTCAAAATAAACAACGTATTCCTGTTTCATTTCCAGTTGAAGGAAATGGCCTGTTAAAATAATAAATTGGTAGCTGCAAAATAAACTTTTAATAAATAATTGGAGGAAGCAAAGGCAAAATATAAAATACAGTGGTAGCTTCCCGCTGTCTGGCCTTGTGTGTGTGAGGTTATGTGTGCTATGATTCCCTAACGGCCTTAGCTTGGGCCAGACTTTGTCATTTGTCCAGTGTCCTCCATGTTGTGTGTGGTGTGCCTGTTGCAGATTCTGCCTTCAGTCCTCCATCTTTGTGGGTGGTTGTTGCACCCAGTATACTAACTCCCCTGTGTATTTATCCATATTTGTCATTGTCTGAATATGGTGCCATTGCAACTTGAAAAGTGATGTTGAATGACTATGTTTACTCTCATTGGAATTCTAAAGATGTCTGGTAAATTTAGTCTCATGCATTTGAGGTTCAAACTTCTTATCATGCCTATTAATGGAATTAATTGAAAACTGAAATGTGCTCATTCCAGTGTTCACACCCTGACTTGCATTCTTGGGTGTCCACCAAAATTTATCAATGGAGCCTGATATTTGTTATAGTGTATTGGCACAGTTTACAAGTGTTTCCAACAGACATTGTGATTTTTTTTGTAACTATAAATGACCAATTAACTGTCATTTTCAGTTATTTTAAGACTTGAAACTTTGTAATTAAAAGAGAAATTGGATTTAATTAAATTTATATAAAATATAGAATGAACCATGTAATTTTAATTATTTTGTGTTATGGAATTACTCTTCATGATTCACTAAAAAAAAGTTTCAACCCCCCCTTCCCCCCCCCCCATTTTTTTCTGGCTACGTCCCTGACCACAGATATCTCACCTGGATCTTTTACTCTAGAAATATCTACACTGCTTTCTGCTTTAGATAGATATAAATTACATTATATAAAATTTTGTAAATAAGCTGGAATATAACATGAAGTGTATTTTAAACCATAACTTCTCAGAACTAATGGTAATTTCTATTCTTGTTTATGACAGAAAACGGGTTTTTATTTCCTGAGGCCAATGTACAAGAAGCAAAGCAACTCCCAAAATATGTTTAATTTTTTTGTAAAAAAAATGGTCACACAGAATGTTAATGTTTTTCATCCTATCAACTTTAAAACACATCTATCATTCTTGTAATCTGAGTGCATTTACATTGGTTTTTGTAGTCACAGTCAGCATCATTATTCCTCTTTGCTGCAATATGCCATTATTTATTTTGCTACTGTTAAAAACAATAGATGTCTGGTTCTAAATATGCATTTTATGAAATATTTATGATCTCTGCTAAAGCGTGAAATAAGATGGAGTGACTTTTTTTTGCATGTGCCAAAAATCTCTTTACTTAACTGCTACAAAAACCAGATGTATTTCCTCCCCATTCCTCCATAATTTGACATTGCTGGCATAAACAATATTTACTTAAATGTATTTGGCTATCAATGAACAGGTCATAAAGTGTAGTTGTCTGTAGCTGTATGCTGTTTATATCTCCACATACCCTAATGACACCAGATCCTGTTTAATATTTGAAGGATCGGCCCTGGTTAATACTTGGATGGGAGACCACCAACAAATGCCAGCTTCTATAGGCTATATTTAACCTCTGAGCATTCATTGCCTTTGAAAACCCTATGAACACATGGAGTCATCTGAAGTCAACAGGAATCTTGAAAGCACATGTATACACACACGCACATTTACAGATAAATTCTCCATAAAGGAAAGCGTAAAAGTGTGGAGAGCACCTTTCAAATAGCTTACCTTGACAATATAAAATGGCATTTAGAAATGAAAATCTGCTCTCTGCCCCCACATTCCTACTCTCCCTGCGAAAGTCATGTACTTAACAATCTATTAGTCTGTTCCATCTGTTGTTGTATATATTTCATGAGCTTTAACATTCTGGTTGTAGAACTTAAAAATGATGAGTAAAATGTCAAACCACCTTAAATAATCATAGGCATGACAACCAAAATGTTAGCCTGGCTTGTATGTCTAGAAAATAGTTCACAGGAGAGAAGTATCTCTCTGCCTCAAAGATGCTACTGTGTCCTTTTTCTAGTAAACTTTCAAAGACGTGCTGGATTTTAGCCGCATGTCTCTTATTGATTTTAACAAGAATCATGTGACTTAAAACCCACAGACATTACAAGGCTTACTGCAACTCACAAAACCTAGATTATTGGGAAGATTAGTAAATGTTGTTTATATCTGGAAAGAGCAGCCTGTTGGTAGTCCTTATTACATAAAAGTATTATATCAAGGGAATGTATATAATTATTAATTGTATATAATTAACAATTGATTCAGTGTATCTAGTCTAGTTGGGATCATCAATAGGAATTGGGGTTTACACCAAACTTAACTAACCGCATTTGACTGGCAGCTGCTTTGAGTACTGACAAAAGATGTACCCTCTTGTTTCAGGTACAGTAGAGTCTTGCTTATCCAACCTTTGCTCATCCAACATTCTTTATTATCCAATGTAATCTGCCTCCCACGCAGATCCACAACTGTTTCAATACATTGCGATGTTTTTGTGCAAAATTCATAAATACAATAATTACTACATAACATTACCATGTAATGAACTGCTTTTTCTGTTGATTTGTTGTAAAACATGTTTTGGTGCTTAATTTGTAAATTCATAACATAATTTGACGTTTAATAGGCTTTTCCTTAATCCCTCCTTATTATCCAACATTTTCGCTTATCAATGTTTTCTGTAAGCCGATTTATGTTGGATAAGCGAGACTCTACTGTACTAGCCTAATCATATATTAAATGGTAGCCCCGAGGAAGTAATTGTCTAGGTCTCAGCTATCCACCTAGTTTCAAGTGGAAATAACCATGCTTTGGTTTATATTTCCATCCCAAGTGCTATCTAATAGGTACAGTATACATTCAGAGGCGGCCCTAGGTAATTTTCAACGATAAACAAACAGCATTTTGGCAGCGGCGACACCCCCCCACCAATCACTGATATATATTTTCTGTTCGTCGTGGGAGTTCTGTGTGCCAAATTAGTGGAGTTCAGAATGCTCTTTGATTGTAGGTGAACTATACATCCCAGTAACTACAACTCGTATATGTCAAGGTCTATTTTCCCCCAAGAGCGCCTCAAGAGCGCCCCTGGGCAAAATCAACTATACTGCAAATGCTTACTTTGCGTAATGGGTTGAGCCGCCCCTGTATACATTGTTACATTATGTTTTCAGCATATTTCTCTTCTATGTGGGGGCAGACATGCAGCACCCCATGGAATTGTTGGACTTGTGTCCATCCAGCTTGATGAAGCCATGTGGAGCATATTTAGATCATTGCCTTTGTAAAGGAATCACAGATATATTTTTTTCCTTTGGTGCACTTTATACCACTACTACCATGTTGCTCAAATTTTAAGCAAATTTTAGCAAATTTTAAGATGGATTAATCAAGCTAGAACAATATGACAAGAAATAGTAAAACACCACTGAGTGAGCACAATACTACTGATGTTTTGGTAACCAATCTGGAGGTGTTACAGCATAGTATAAAGAAATGCCCTCTTTTCTTCAAACTAAAAACATTTACTACTTCATGTTCTGCCCTATCACTTTAGGAGTTCTTAGAGCAAGGTGTCATCAGACATCCATATCCAATTTCAGTTCTAGACCAAGATGTGGAAGTTATGATGAAGATACTAGCTGACTAAATGAATTGAAACCAATGCTTGCTTCCTTTTGTTGATCAGGTATAGAATTTAGGGATCTTGTTTGATCTCTCCACCATTGTCGTTGGAAATACCTTAATCAACTACATCTAATTTGTCCTTTTTCTAGAGGAGGATTGCCTAGCAATTATCATCATTCATGATTACTACACTTTGAGAACAATTTCAACGTGTGTTCATTAATCACTCTAGTCCTGTGCACACTTTCCTGGGATTAAGTCTCTTTCAGCATAGTAGAATTTAACATCCAGAAAATAATACAAGGACTGAGCTATTTGTTTTTCAACTGCCTTGGGATAGACACACTTCACAGAACAAAGTCATGAGAGGGATTCAATGAGCCTTTTAGGTCATGAGACTGATTAACTGCAAATATTAGGTCTATATTAAATTCATATAATATTGTTTATGCTGACATATAATGCTTTCAAGGTTAGTGAGCCATATTCTATGGATTAGATTCCAATTGGTGCTGAACAAACTTGAAAAAAATTAGCTTTGAAGTTTTTCCTTACATGAAATATAAGAGACTGTTATTCAAAGGTTCATGCAGAATGAGTAGTGGCATGTTTGAGCTTTCCTTATCCTTAATTCTTGTGTTTGAAATACTCCAAATCTGAAATGGCCCACATGGGTAGCTAAGATAGTCACAATTTTGCTTTCTGAGGGCTCAATATATACCAACTTTGTTTCATTCAGAGAATTATTAAATATATTGTATGAAATTATTTTCAGGCTATGTGTATAAAGAGCTTCATCAGCACATATATTAAAATTAAAATGATACAGAGAAGATTGGCATGATTCTTGCACAAGGATGACACACAAATTATTGAAGCATTCCATATTTTTCTCTGAATACATTTTAATCAATTGAAAGGATTTAACCTTTATTTTTTAATCAATACTATTAATGTTTAATTCTATTTATTTGTATATTTTTAAATTTTAAATTACATGGAAATGCTTTTAATGTAAGTCTCTTTGAGTCTCCTTTGTGGAGAGAACAGGTAAACATGATAGTGATGATGATGATGATGATGATGATGATGATGATAAAACATGCATGCATTTTATGTTTAGACATAGATCCTATCTCCATTTATCTTTTTCTGCAAATCCAGATATTCCAAAATGGGGGGGGGGGATCCAAAATGCAAAACAAAATGTGGGGATCCAAAATGCAAAACACCTATAGTCTTAATTATTTTGGATAAGGGATACTCAACCGGAAGTATAATAATTTAATAATGAAATTTTATTTCTAGACAGGCCTCTCTCCCCAGAGGGACTCGGCGTGGTTTACACATAAAAAGGCAAACATTCAATGCCTCAAATAGGTGGAAACACATCAAATAATGCAAAATAGTGAAAACTAACAACAGAAAATTTACAGCAAGGGATTAAGCATCAAAATAAAATAAAACCAAAAACAATCCATTAACTAAAACATAAATAAACATTACAATGTACACTCTAAAAACAATTTATGAGATATTATATTAAAATGGCTGACAACAGTGTTACATTTAAAGCATATCATTGCAGCCATCTAATACACGTAGATTAGTCAGCAGTCTTAATCGTCCTCCTCTCCGTATGCTAAAGTGCATAGGTATATTTTAGAAGGTTCATAAAGAGAGGAGGGTGGGGGCTATTTTTATTTCTCTAGGGAGGGAGTTCCAGCGATGAGGAGCAATCCCAGAGACGGTCCCCTCCAACCAAGCTTGTGATGGGGGTGGCACTAAGAGGAGGGCTTCCTCTGTAGACGGCAGTGCATGTGATGCTCTATACAGGATTTGACAAATAGCCTGGATCTGAACTGTTTAGGGCTTTAAAGGTAACAACCAGCACTTTGCATTTAGCCCAGAAGTGGAGCGGCAATCAGTGGAGCCGTCGTAGCATGGGAGTCATCCTCTCATGATATGGCGCTCCAGTTAGCAATCTAGCCATTGATCTCTGTACTAATTGCAGCTTCCAAACTATCTTCAAAGGCAACCCCACATAGAGAGTATTGCAGTAGTCCAAATGGGGTGTGACTAAGGCATGGACTACCATGCCCAAGTCTTATGGTATGGGCACAGCTGGCGCACAAGTTTTAGCTGTGCGAAGGTGACCCTGGCCACTACTGACACCTGGTATTGCAGGATCAACTATGAGTCCAGGACCACCCCCAGACTGTGGATCTGTGTCTTCAGAGGGAGTGCAACCCTATCCAACACAGGTTGAAATCCCACACCCTGATCCGCCTTACAACTGATCAGGAGTACCTCTGTCTTGTCTGGATTTAGTTTCAGCTTGTTGGCCCTCATTCAGCCCATTACTGATGAAAGGCACCGGTTCAGGACCAAAATGGCATCCTTGGCATTTGGTGCAGAGTACTACTCTCTTCAGAGCATATTCCACTCAGGCCATAGTCTAGTCCTGAGAATGTATCTCCATTATCTGTCTCAGATTTTATGTTTCATGTAATTATCAACTATTTGGGTTAAACTAGTAAATCAGGAGGGGGAGCATTGCTGCTGTTTTGGAGAAAAAAACATACTACAAACCATTTGGGGGGCGGGGGGGAAGGAAATGGAAAGAAGGGATTTTCTACAGTAACATTATCATGTACATACTGATATTATTAATTTATATTTATTTCAGGCTCTGCTTCATACTCAGAATCTTCTAAGAGCTCAAATTTCAAATTTCACTTTCAACCTGGGATTTTCAGGGAAATTTTATCACACAGGTAAGAATGGGTGGCGGGGGGGGGGGGGGGGGGGACTGGGAAATGCAGTTACAATTTGTTAGTTCCCCTGCAGTTCACAGGAGTCAAGATCAATTTTGCTGCTGCAGCTCTATACTATAAAATGAAAGGAGATGGGAGTGAAGAACTCTTGGAGCCTGGGGGAGGGGGGAAATCTTCTTTCCAGAGGATAAAACTAGAAAATTGATCGCCTCTTCCATATGCTGTGAATTTTACAATATGAGTAGCTTGACTTTGAAATCCCAGACATTTCCAGCATTATATCTGCATATAGGAATGTTACACTTTACTCTGAAATGTACCATTTCAGTGGCACAGCAGTTAGTTCTACCATCTCATTAAGATTCTTCCAATTTAATGAGTCCCTAACTATCATATTGAGTTAGAAAAACCAACCCAAGCAGCAGCTTCTTGACATATGCTGTTATCTGTTTCTGCCTGCTAAAATCTTTGTTTTACAAAATCATTAAGAAATCATTCCCAGCTGAGACTGAAATTGCAAAATTTGCCCTTCAAAGAAAAGGTAATAGTTCTGCTATAACACTGTAGAACGGGACTAGACTGTGATTCTTAAAACCTATAACATTTGCAAAATATATGCACATTTGCCAACGACTGTTTTTCACAATAGATTTATTAGGTGTGGCCCCAAGAACACACATAGTATAATAGCTATGATGTAAAATATGTGTGTCCCTTTTTGTGAAACCACTGGTGGAATGCCATTCTTCCATAAGCTGAAATCAATATGCTTTCATCATCATGTTTGTGCTCATTCATTTTCCTTTATCATAGACTGCTTTGGTACCAAGCTTGCCAAGTGTTCTTCCTGTTGGAATTGTGAGCTCATGGCAGTTGAAAGTATACATCTGGAAATTGCTTCAAAATGAAAACAAAACAAAACACCTACTGTGTTTTTAAAAAACGATCTTTCCAACGATGAGATGCATTTTAGCCACCTTTTCTTCACTGAAATCAAAGCATACATTAAAGCCTAAATCCAATTGGTATTCTAGAATAAAGTCTAACTAGAGCAGGCACACAGAGTCAATAAGATTTGTGTAAATTTTGTTTTATTTAAGCATTGCTTCAATGGGTCCACTCTATTTGGCTGATTAAATTGGCAAGATTATTTTCTAGTAGACAGGCATACAGGTGCCATGGCACCAGTTGAATATAAAGTAAATCTGAATGGCCTCTGTAATGAAGGAAAGCCAAAAAACAGGTAGAATGTGATGCAAACTGATAGGAAAAGAGAGGGCAATATTGGCTTCTGAAGATTTGTAGCCATATGCGGTATAGACCACCACTACTTAAACTTTGAGTTCCTACCCCAAATGGGGTCCCTTTAGCTCAATGTTGGGGTCACTAAAAATTAGGCTGCAGTAAATGGTTTCTGAGCACCAACACAAATCTATTAGCAACAACATGCTGTGCTTACAGTGGCATCTGCAGAATCTGTACTCCATACAAAAAAAAAAAAGGAAAATCATTCTGTTTAGCAAGCCTTGTAAATACTGATTTATTTTCAGTAAATGTTTGATTTGTATACCTGTTTTACATACCTATATGCCTGAGGTCACGTTAAAATGTCTCGGATGGAAAGAGTTCACACATGGAAAATGTTTAAGCCCTGGTTAAGACAGTTATCTATCTATGCTACAGAGTAACAGTTATTAGATATCATTAACTGCAGTGGCTCCATCCTGTGAGACATGGAATATGGAGAATTGGAGATATGTTTTTGGAATGTTCTGCTATAGAGGTCTCGAGGTGCTTGTACTTCTGTTCCCAGAAGCCCCAACAGTTTGGCCAATGGTCAGCATTCTGAAAATGGAAATGCAAAATATTTGCAGGAACAATGATTGAGAACTACTAGAACTCTGTAATAAATAATCCTGGGTACTCCTCAAAAACTGTAAATCCCAGGATTCCATAGGACAGAGTCATGGAAGCTTAAGTGGTGTGAAACTTCTAGCTGTATTGTGTAGATAGACTTTAAACAACTACTTATTTACCCAACTGTCAGTGTTGAATTGTGAAAAAACTGCTAATGTATCCACTTAGCATATTATCACCATCAGCCACAGTTTGCCCAATAGCTATTCTAAGAAGCAGGGAAAGAAAAAGTTAATTTGCGTTGTTGCTGCAGTGTGAACAAGATCCAAGGCTCCCTGATGGCATGAGAAAGCAGTGCATCTACATAATTACAACAGAACGAATCTCTTTATGTTGGCTCACCCCTGAAATGACCATATTGTTCAACTACAAAGTCATTGGTTTTAATGTACTCCTAAAATCTAATGATCCCAGGCAGGCCGCTGCATCATTTCAGCTGCCCGAAATGTTGTTTCCTTGCTCAAATTACTTGCTTCTCTCAGACTAAAAGAGAAGGGGAAAGCATGGAGAGCAAAATGATTAACAGAGCAATAGCAATAAAAAGCAAAGGAAAGATAGAAGTTGAACATATGAAACTGCATATGCAAAGCCACATAAATCAGGATATTGGAACGTGATCTTAAAAATCAGAAACATGAGATGGCGACAGAGCGGGAGAGAGATTCTTATGACTAGTGTAATTTTGAAAACACAAAATGAAACAGATGCAACTAATCACGCCATTAAGACAATGTTTGGCTATTAAAAACTGAGGAGAAATTTTAGAAACTTTCCAGAATACATTTGGCTGGAGTATGTACGGACAAAGCTTATGCCAAATTAAATCACATGAATTTGTAGACAGTTGTTTCCATTGTGCATTATTTCTCCCCCTCCTCTGTATATTGCTCAGGAAGGTCTTAACAGTTAAAAGCTCCTTAAGATACTTTAAATAATTTTAAATAGTGTGGAAGAGTTACTACAATGCCTATGATTGCATCCTAGATGTTAAAATATTGATATAATTAAAAGGAGGCTTACATTGGGTCTTATGGAATGACATAGAAATAGTATGATGTTTGGAGCATGACATGTTACAAAGAATACCTCTAAATATGTCCTAAGGGCCATAGGAATCCAGTTCCACCAGTGAACCAAGACTGTAGTGTATTTGTGAAGGTATGCCTCAATGGGCTGGCAGGATGTCTGATATTTCAGGCCAAAGCCCACTGGTAGGATAGACATATAATCACATGCTAGCTAGAAACACATTCACTAATTCTGACTCAGAAGCTTTCTGACTCAGAAGCTTTAGTCCCTTTCCATGTCAACAAATCAAATACACAAAAATCATTAAAATAGTGGTCTGTTTGGCTACTAGATGTAGAACAGTGGCTCTATTTTCTCATTCTTGGGCAACACAGTTAAGTGGCACTGATGCTTCTCCTAATCCTAATTGTCATTGTGATTTCAAAACTAAAAAGAGATGATATCATTGTTGATTGGTTTTTTTTTCCTGCAGGAACTGCAGAAGAAGATGAAGGTGATGACCTGTTGCTGGGGTCTGTGGATGAATTCTGGTGGTTTCCTCACATGTGGAGCCATATGCAGCCTCATCTATTCCACAATGAATCATCATTGGTGGAGCAAATGATTCTCAACAAAAAATTTGCCTTAGTAAGTAGATGCATGTAGTGTGAATTTCCTGGGAGTTTTGTGTGTTCTGTTTTTCCCTGATTTTGTAATTTTAGTGCTTTGTCTTACTGTAATGAGCGTGTACTGAAATGCCTCAACAATCCATCAATCAAGACTTTTGTTCTCAACTCCTGATTATATAATGCCACTGGATAAATCAAATCACAGGGGTGATATTGTCTGAAATTTAGACCAGTTGTCAGCACTCAGTGGGAGTCCTGTATCTAGTTTGGATGGTTGGCCTTGGCCAATCAGATGGTTTGAATGAACCAGTGATAACAAGGAAAGTACCGCTCCTTAAAAACCACAGGTTTCCAACTCAACAATGGTTCTGTCAATATTAAAGTACAAGAGAAAACTGAACCAGCCATCAATAATATTGATTTAGAGATAATATTCATAGGCTATTCTAGCCAGAAAATGTTGCTTTCCCGTATAGTGCTCTATTTTATAGGGGTAAATAAAAGTATGTTGTTTGCTGTTGTAGTACAAGGATATGTCAAAAAATACTAAAATGGCATTTTCCTATCCCCACATCTGGTATTTCTGTTAGCCTTCTAATTTATATAATATCACAAATTAGAGCTATCAAATACTTTTATGGCCTGAAAAGCTAAAGTTTGCTGTCATGTGTAAACAAATAACAAGACTACGGTACAAATTAGTAGCTTGTCTCAAACAGGTTTTTAAAATTCCCAAAATGCTTTCCCAAAGAGTGTTGTATTTTATAAGCGATGATTCATCCTTAAATTTGTCATCATGATGCCTTTCCAAATAAGGTTATATTATGACTGCTCAAGAGTTACAGAATTTCAATGTTAAATATTAATATAAAATATAATGACACAATTATTTTTCAATAAAGAGTTGGCCATGCTAAAAAAAAGCTCCACTGGTAGCCCTTAAATCTACTCCAGTGGTGCCAAATGCACCCATGAAAATATACTGAGAGAGCATTCTGGATCCATTGGGAATTTTAATTCACCAACATCTGGAAAGACACAATTTGTCCACCATCATGTAAACCCATAGCCCAGTTTAGAAGTATACTGCAACTATTATTTTCATATACTACCGATAAGATAAGGTTTTAGAAATGGATAATTAGCCAGAATACTTCAAAGGTGAATGGGGGAAAATCAGGTCAAGGACAAGTTTGGGGGGGGGGGGGGGGCAGAGGTTTGGGGGGGGGGGAGGCAATTTTTGCATAGAAGCAGAAACCCAACTGAACAGCCTGTGTTCAAAACATGCCATTTCTCATAAGAAAAGGGGGGGATTTTTTAAACAACAACAACAACCCTACTTCTAACCAATCTAAGGAGGGTAGAAGGGGTGCACTGAAACACTGAGGCTGGATCTATATCCCAAGACTTGATCACACATTATCTGCTTATCCCAGATTATTTGGCAGTGTAGACTCATATATAATCAAGTTCAAAGCAGATAATCTAGAATCAGGCCATGGGATATAGGGCATAGATGGATTTTATTACCCTCCAATGTAAAGAAGAGTCCAGCAACACTATCAATTTAGGAGGCAGGGAAACAGGTTCTTGAGGAAGGAGCCTATGGATCTCATCACATTAGCCTTGGGCTCCATACATGGATGCTTACAGGATGGAGCAAGGATGGACCCCAATGGAGCCCATAACATGGTGCTGCGCTACTTCCGATAAGGCTCCGTCCTTGCTCCAACCTGGAACAGTGCTAGGACAGAGCCCACAGAACATGGGGGATTCCTTGTATTCTTATTACTTAGAACAGGGCCAGCATGAGGAAAAGCCAAGTGAGGAAGATTTCTCCCATGTGATGGGAAAGCGGAAATGTGGGACACTGGGTGATGGTTTCCCTTGCTGCCCCACGGATTCGCCACACCGCCCGGCAAATCTCCCCACTGTCATCCAGCTTGAAGACTTCAATGTGATGAAGTCTTTAGTGGATGTTGAGTGAAATAGAAATCTCTGGCAGGTTATTATATAGATGATTTTTAAAGGCCCCATGTGCCTAAATTGACCAATGCAAATGTTAAACCTCACTTGTCAAGCTTTTTCGTCTGTATGCATATTACAACATGACCCCTGCCTGTTTCCCTCTAGGCACTTGTAATGACTCTTAGATGATCTGAGGAGATAAAAATCATGGAGTTGCACGTGGGACAAAGCCAATCAAGTAGTCACTTCCCCTCTTTCAAATCCAGACAGGATTGCTCAACATCTCTTGAAACTGTGCAATATCTGATGTTGAGAAATGTACAACTCAAGGAGAGTTTGTCAAGGGCTACTGCACACAGCAATGAAACTGTTTCCTTTTCAGCCGGGGGGGGGGGGACCAAGGGTTTTTTTTTTTTAATGGATTTGACTACTTCTAAGATGGAAAGGCATTCAGGCTCACTGCTCTACCCTACTTGCATGTAAAGTCAATTTGTTGAAAAGGTTGAACTGGCATACATGTTGAATTATCATTGATACAGTGGGGCCATTTGAGTTGGGACTAACAGCTGAATTTACCCCAATATTATATAAGGAATTCTGAACCAGTATTCTTTTTCAGAACTGTTCAGTGCCAATAAGTAGAATTTAACTTTGAAATGGAATTGAGAAATTACATTACTTATGGAGATAAGCATCTCCAAAGGAGACCTAAATTGAATTTAGTAAAATAAAAAGGAAAGACTCAAAATCACAGAGGAACCTTCATCTTAAGCTTTAAACTATGAGGTTTAAGGATGGAGAGAGATTTCAAATCTGGAGAGGAATAAAAGGTTTTCTACTATGAAGGCATTCACCTGCTGTTTTAAAATAAGCCTTGTAAGTCTTTTTAAATTAACAAGTTATTCTGAGAGGGTTACATGCATTTTAAAAGATAGGTATTTCAATAGAAAACCAATAGGGATACAATAATATTGTGGGGAAGGGGGGGTGACCTAGCCTGAGGCCCCTTCTACACTGCTATATAATCCAGATTGTCAAGTCAGATAACCCACATTGTCTTCTTTGAACTGGATTATATGAGTCTACACTGCTATATAATCCAGTTCAAATCAGATGATCTGAATTTTATATGGCAGTGAAGAAGGGACCTGATACAGGTGTATCTTGCCCAGTTTTAATTAATGAACATCTAAAGTGCCACATGATTCCTATACCTGTTGTACAGCAGGAAACCAGCTTCATACTATTATATTACAGCTGGTTCTGCCAAATTCTTTGTAATATTATGTACATGTTAATCAAAAAATTTAGTTATTATGTATTGCGTGATTCATTACTGAAGAAATGCTTCTGGATATATACTTACTTGCATCAGAGTGGGGGGGGGGGCGGTATTTATTTTGTATCAGAAACATTGCATAAATAAGTATAAAACTGATAAAAATAGAGGGAACACAAGTGGTTAACTAATTTTTGACCAAAACCAGGCAACAGTGACCACATTGTCTGTAGCTTTAAACACTTCTTCCTCTGTGCATGAGGCAGGGCATTGTGGACAAGCATACATATGCTGAGTTGTTTGTTCTGCTCCACAGTTGCACAAGGTAGGGGATTATTCTAGGTAGTGCCATTTTGCCAGGTTGTCATTTGATCTGTCCACTCCAATTCTGAATCTGTTCAGGGACTTCCAAGTTGCCCATTCTTGATTTGCCCCTGAAGGCAGTCCCTTGTGGGGGGCCATCCAGTTGGAATTGCCAGATTGAGCTACCCAGAGGGATAATCTTGCTGTTGCTAAGGGAACATTAAGAGGAGTGGTGGTTCTCATGAAGCTTTTCCTTGATTTGAGTCTACTGGTAGGAGACTGATAGCCACGCAGAGGATGGCTTTCACAATGTTCAACCTTATTTCTCTCACAGTTAGCAGCAACTTCCCATCACACATCTGTGGGGGGGGGGGCAATGCCAGAGTCTATCAACAGGTGTAGGTTTGATACATCCTGTGATTATTTTGCATTTTTTCATTCAGTGTTCCATTCACCTGCTTCACATGGATAGCCTTGTGCCAAACAGGGCAGGTATACTCAGCAGCTGAGTAAGACAAGGCCAGGGCTGATGTCCTTATTAATTGCACTACCAGAAAGTTTCAGCAGGATGTTATTGCATGCAGCTACTTCGTGCTTGGTTTTCATACAGTGTATCCTAAATGCTAGTGTTCAGTCTAAGGTGACACTGAGATATTTAGGATGGAAACAGTGTTTGAGCTCTTGACCTTCCCAGGGCTAGGGGGGATCAGGGCTAGATATTCTTTGAATGACCCTCTCTTCCTTCATAGTGAAATATGATTTTATCCCATCTATACATATGAAGAAGGGTGTTTAGTTGCATAGCAGCACTACTAGAAAGAGGAGAGAGAAAGCCTGGTGATTATTTATCGCTCTTTCTTAGTCCTTATCAAGGTACGGTTTTCTACTGTTGCTTCTGGAGTTTTTCTAATACAACAAATACGGCTGCCTATAGTTTTTGACATGTGAAAAGCAACACTATTATACTTGTTCAAATATATGCATAATGTTTGTAGATTGCTTAGTCTTCTAATCTGGTTATGCCTTGGTTTAGGAACATGGCATTCCAACCGATATGGGATATGCTGTGGCTCCACACCACTCGGGTGTCTATCCTGTTCATGTTCAACTTTATGATGCCTGGAAAAAAGTCTGGAATATTAAAATCACAAGTACTGAAGAGTACCCACACCTAAAACCTGCAAGATATAGAAAAGGCTTCATCCACAAAAACATTATGGTGAGCTGTTCCAGTTCTCATTCTGATGGTTCTGATTATGTTCTCAGTTACTTGTTAATAGTTTCAGAGAAATAGAAAAGATGTTCTAGAAGTTGTATATCCTAAACATTGACATTGTTTGAAGAGCTGTCCTTAGTTACTAATATCCTAGTTATATCTAGAGTTGTTGTTGTTTATTCTTTGAGACCTCATGAACCAGCCCACGCCAGAGCTCCCTATATCCAGAGTATGTTATAATAATAATAATTATTATTATTATTATTAATAATAATAATAATATACCACCCTATCTCCCCAAAGGGACTCAGGGCAGTTTACAGACAAAAGAAACAAAGTGCCAAACATTCATTGCCAAAATAAATAAATACATAAATAAACAACAACAATAAATCAACAGGAGCGGCGGTACCCTTGAGAGGGCAATGGTGACGCCCTTCTGGACCTGTTGATGTCCCGGTGGCCTCGAGGAGGCGATGACATGGCCCTCCTGGTGTTTAACTTGATGTTTACAATGATTACAATGATGTTTAATATGCCTTTGAAGAATGTCTGAAAACTTAAGTTAGTCCAGAAGGCAGCTGCTAGTATTTTAATTGGGATCCATGAGACTGAGCATATAACTTTCACTTTATGCCATCCCTTTTTGTCATTTGTTTGTTACTGGACTCTGTTCAAGGAGCTATTATTAAACCTTAAGCTCCTAAGGGCAAAGCAGTGAGAATTTAAGAACTGTCTATTCCCTGATGAACCTGGCCATGCTCTGAGATCAACTGCAAATAATCTTTTCTGTGCCTCATGGCTGCGGGATATAACTGGAGGCAATGAAAAATAGGCTTTGATGTTTCTTAGTAATTTTGTAACTGCTCCTGTTGAGTACAAGTTGAATATTTCTTATCCAGAATTCTGAAACTCGAAAAATTCCGAAATAATCAACATGAGGTAGTACTACCTTTCTTTTGGATGGTACACAAACTTTGTTTCATGCACAACATTATGGAAAATATTGTGTAAAATTCCTTCCAGGTTATGTATATAAGGTTTATGTAAAATAATAATGAAGTTTGGAGGATTTTGGAATTTCAATAAGGCATGTTCTACTTGTAATAATTTATATATATTATAAGTCAGTTTATGTACACTTTATACAGATCCGTCTCCTCTTGTCTTTTCTTTTGATGATGCTTTTTTTTATTTGTGGGGGCACCCTAGCACTATGATGTTTGACTTCAGTCAATGTGGTCTTTTGTGCATAAAATAAAGTGAACCACGAGTCAGCCATACTAAATATATTTAAGTCTCACAGTGGGAAAGTTAAAATACCTGCTTCTTTCTCTTGCATCACAATTATTGTGACTTCAAGGTACTTGCATTTCCTGGGCCAATTCCCAAGGGTAGAAATTGTGCAACTCTCCAAATGTTGATGTTCAGTTACAATTCCCTAAATTCCTTCTTGAGTATGCCAAGTAAGGCTGTTCAGAACTACAGCACTCAACATCTGGAAAGCCAAATGATTACATTCCATAGTCTTGAATGTGTCTCGTTCTATGTGTACTCCTTCTAATTGACTTGTTGTTCTCTTTTTGTACAGGTCCTTCCTCGACAAACTTGTGGTCTGTTTACACATACAATTTTTTACAAGGAATACCCAGGTGGTCCAAAAGAATTAAACAAAAGTATACAGGGCGGAGAATTGTTCTTCACAGTTGTTCTCAATCCAGTAAGTAATTCAAATGTTTTACAAAAATAATCTACTAGGGATCAGGTTTTAAATCAAGCAGTTGATTTAACATTGTTGATATGCTTAGGGACATGTTGATAAACATCTTACAAAAACTGTGTATATTTGTTAAACTTAATATTCGGATACCGGGTCCAACATAATAACGTGATGGTAAACGTTCTAAGGTTGTATTTAACCATTTGCTTTGTTTGTTTGTTTGTTTGTTTGTTTGTTTGTTTTACATTTTTTCAAGTTTGAATTCTAAGACCTGCTCCTTGAAGTAGGTATTCCAAATAGATATGCAGAATCACTAAATACAACATGCATTATCACACAAAAACAATTTCATCAAATAAATCGTATGAAGCTCCAGGTTTTTTGGGGTAGCTTTTGTAATATGTTTAATAACGCCTGATCCAGTTCGCATGCACAGGATTCCTACTTGACAAGCACTGTGAACATGCACATATATTAACGTTCATATTTTGGGGACCTGACAAAAATGAACTCTATTGTCACAAGCATTAATAATTAGACTTTCTCCTTCTTGGTGCATATATGAGGACTTATGGCATGTGAAACATGCTCAATTGAGCAGTCAGGGAATTGGCAGGGTTGCCTGGTATTGCACTCTTCTCTTTCTCTACTAATCCATGATACATATAATGAGAATGCATGTGAGAGTGGGGTAAGAGCTGATATGAATAGTACAGGTTGAGTATCCCTTAAACAAAAACCTGAAATGTTGAAAAATCCAAAATTGTCCACATGGGTGGCCGAGATAGTGACATCTTTGCTGTCTAATGGTTTAATGCACACAGACTTTGTGTCATGCACAAAACTATTTAAAATATCTACAAAATTACCTTCAGGTTATGTGTATAAATGAATTGAGTGTTAAGACATGTGTCCCATCTACAAGATATCTCATTATTTACAATAGAACCTCCATATCCACTGATTCTAAACCCATGGTTTCACTTACCCATGTTCCAAAAATATATACATCCTGGAAGTGTTTGTGAGTCTCTCAGGTCCTCCAATGCAATTCTATGGTATTTCAGGCCCAGATATAGTCAAAATATAGGGTTCACTATTATCTACAATTCCAGGTATCCATGTGGGGACTCTGAATGTATCTCCCATGAATGTGGTAGTTGTACTATTATTCTACCCCACCTTTTTTTAAAAATCCAAAACAGTTCTGGTCCCAAGCTTTTCGGATGAGGAATACTCATTATAACTTCTGTAAGTCTTATTTTCTAATCTGGACTATCCCCTCTTACAAAGGCAACTCAGAGTTTGAAACCTGAATACATTATCAACATGGAAACATTAATAATCACAGTTCTTTCATTGCTATTGTTGTTGTTACGTGTATTCAAATGAACTTCTGCTGCTTATGGTGATCCTCTAAAAGAACTTTATTCACAAAATCTATTCAGTGTAGGTTTGCCACTGCCTTGCTCTTAAGCTAAAAGAGTGTGACTTCCTCAAAATCACCCAGTAGATTTGCATGGCTGAGTGAAGATTCAAACCAAGGTCACCAGGAGTCCTAGTTCACCTTTTACTGTACTTACATGAAACAAATATTTGACACAACCATGCCTTACACTTGTCTGTGTAGATACACTGAAGATAATGTTCTTTTTTAATAAAAAAAACACACAGCTATAGACACAGGTTTGTATATATTGGTATCTAAGCATTTCATTATATTGTGAAAAGAGATATACTAAGTTTGTTTTACATTCTGTGCTTTTTTTATATCATGTCAGACATTCTGTGCTGGAAAAATAGCCAGAAAACCATATATGAATGTCTAATATGGCACAACAATTTACATTTACTCTGTTTTCCCCAGGCATTCTAGGTTTTCTCTAGGTGAAGAAAGCCTAATATTTATTGGAAGTATAAGAATTTGTGTGCTGAAGTAGCTCATCTAGTTGCCTCTAATGTGTGTGCATATATGTGAAATTGGTTTGCATTACTGGCTGAACTGTAATTTGATAGCAGCTATAAAATTACCCTGGCATCAAACCTCATTGTGTTCATAAAGCATATAGAATGACTAAACTGTGTCAGACTCCATAAGGAGCATTGAAAGTTCATAACACACTATATATTTTAAAGAAAAGCTGCACATCTGTAGACTGCTGCTGAAGGTGAGATCTACAGCAGCAAATGCTTCTGCATTTCAGTCCTATGCATTTCAGCTAATGCATCGTCAGTCCTACTGAATTCAGTGATTCTCATTCCCAAAAAAGTGTGTATTCTTGCAGATCTAACAGCTATTGTTCACTTAGACAAATGATGGAGTATTGTCGAAGGCTTTCATGGCTGGAATCACTAGGTTCTTGTGGGTTTTTTCGGGCTATATGGCCATGTTCTAGAGGCATTTCTCCTGACGTTTCGCCTGCATCTATGGCAAGCATCCTCAGAGGTAGTGAGGTCTGTTGGAATTAGGAAAATGGGTTTATATATCTGTGGAATGACTGGGGTGGGGCAAAGAGCTCTCTGCTGGAGCTAGGTGTGAATGTTTCAACTGATCACCTTCATTAGCATTTGAAGGCCTGGCTGAGCCTGGGAAAATGTTTTGTTGTGAGGTGTTAATGTGCCTGGTTTTTTCCTCTCTGTTGTTTAGCTGTTATAATTTTAGAGTTTTTTAATACTGGTAGCCAGATTTTGTTCATTTTCATGGTCTCTTCCTTTCTGTTGAAACTGTCCACATGCTTGTGGATTTCAATGGCTTCTCTGTGTAGTCTGACATGGTGGTTGTTGGTGTGGTCCAGCATTTCTGTGTTCTCAAATAATATGCTGTGTCCAGGTTGGTTCATCAGGTGCTCTGCTATGGCTGACTTCTCTGGTTGAAGTAGTCTGCAGTGCCTTTCATGTTCCTTGATGCGTGTCTGGGCGCTGCGTTTGGTGGTCCCTCTGTAGACTTGTCCACAGCTGCATGGTATACGGTAGACTCCTGCAGAGGTGAGAGGATCCCTCTTGTCCTTTGCTGAACGTAGCATTTGTTGGATTTTCTTGGTGGGTTTGTAGAAATGATGGAGTCTTTGTCTATAGTTCCCATCACCTCTGCTAATTGGGGATAAAAGAAGTTGCCATCTAACAATGTCACAAGGAACCAAATGTCTTTCATAGGTTTTCTTAGACAAGGAATTCTCAGATACAATTTTGCCAGTTCTTTCATCTGAAATATGTCATACAGTACCTGGTATTTGTTGGCAGTCTCCTATAAATGTATATGTCTGACTTGGCTCCTGAGATCAGACGAGATCTGTTACCTTTAGGGTGTTTAGGGTTGAAAATCAGAAATGCTTCATTATAATTGTTATTCCTTAAATAGGAGTTCAGCATCTTTAATGGGATACATTGTGTGTAATTCTATCCTTGGCAGAAATTATCAAAACTGTTTTGATTTAGGGCAATAGACATAGATCTTCTTCTTAACTCATCAAGTTATGAGCCTTGTGCACTATACTAAACTAAGCATTAAGCTGAGGATGTAAAAACTTTAGCATTTTGGATATTTTTGCCATACAAATTCAATTGGTTCTATCCTGCATGGCAAATGGTAAGGGACAGTAGGAGTTGTGTTCTAGTTCATCTAAAAGACCAAATATTACTAATCACTGAGTCAAGCAAATACAGTTTAAATTATTGACATAGTAAATGAAAGCTTATGCTATCAGCTTCAACCTCTCTGGTAGTCTCTCTTGAATATTGGTATTTCTTTAACTCTTGGCTTTGCTAGCAGGAGACTATTCCATTTTAAAGAGTGGATACATCATTATTACCAGGAGTCTCCAGTGGCACGATGGGTTAAATCCTAGTGCTGGCAGGAATGAAGACCAACAGGTTGCAGGTTCAAATCTGGGGAGAGAGTGGGTGAGCTCCCTCTGTCAGCTGTAGCTTCCCATGCGGGGATATGAGAGAAGCCTCTCACAAGGATGGTAAAACATCAAAACATCCGGGTGTCCCCTGGGCAGTTTCCTTGGAGACGGCCAATTTTCTCACACCAGAAGCAACTTGCAGTTTCTCAAGTCATTTGTGACATGAAAAAAAAAACATTATTACCACTTTCATTTTTATTAACTTCATTTCCCCCTAACTACCTTATAAAGTGTACTTAGTGTTTAGAAACTAAAAAGAACAGGGATTATTTCAATTTTTCTCCTGAGTGCCTTATTTTTTTCATGTTAGCAAATATGTCATCTGTCTGTCCCAAGGCACAGTCTATTTGATGTGTGTATATTTTAAAATTTCACCTGAAAATAAATGCTATCAATTTTGCTAGAATTCTCAATTACTTTTATTTATTTTTATGACTAAATTTGATACCTCAGGTGGCAATTTACTTCACATTGTATTGCTTCCAAACATGACTGACTGCTGTCTCATTTTTTTTCCATTTTGAAGTCAGTGACTCTATTATTGCTACTGATGATGTTCCATTTTGACAGTACTGTGGTATCTTTTCTGTGACAGAGCTTGCTTACTGATCCATAACAAGAATTTTTCTGCCTTTCAGCAGATCTTCCTGCTAGGTTTTTTTTTTCCCCTTCTTTCCTTAGGGCTACCCACTACTACCACGCAAAGAAAATAAGGATATGAAACCTCAGTGAAGCAAACTAATTGTTGATGCAGTAGTCCGTTCTGTGAATCCAAAATGTCATAGGTTATGGCATATTTTGTTGCTTCTCAAGTGCTAGAAGCCTTCTAGATCATTGTGACAGGGGCCATTCTGTAGCTCTCTAATGTCATAAAAAACTCAAAATCCTTAGGGAAGTGGACATGCTGAAAACGTTCAGGGCAGTGAATGCAAAGTTACATAATGCAGACAATCTCAGATTGTTTTCTTGCTTATTCATTCACTTTTAAGTAAGATTTTTGGGATGTTTTTGTTGTTTGGCCTATTTTGAAGCCGTGTATGATTGAATCCGTGGGCACAGAGTGCTGGCTGTACTTCAGTCCATCTGATTGTTGTT